CATGAATCTAAATAATACAATAACAAAAGATATACAAAAAGTACAATTTTAAACAGAAAGACTCCTGGCCTGATTAACAAATAGTTTTATAACTTCAGAAATGTCAATGCTTGGGAAGAAAGAAGACCTATCCTATCTCTAGGATATTTACATCAAGTTTCACCTTCTGTAATGGTCCAGTGTAAAATCCCATGCCTGTTGAAGACAGTAGTGAAACTCTAATCAACTTCAATAAAGAATAAAACTTCATCTCTGGTATCATGGTAGCACTGAACTCTTCTGGATGAGCTTGTTATTACTTGATAAATCTACCTGCAATCCAGTTCATCTGGGAAGAATTCTTATTTTCTCTCTCATTATACATTATAATTACAAATGCCAGTCAGATCAACAACTTCTGGAAATATTTGTAAATCTAAACCTATACTTTTACGTTCCACTACTCTCTGTAAAATGTATTATTTTACTGACCTTTCAGTTCATGAAATAGGATTCAAAATGTTTTGAGTACATAAAAAAGTAACACTCATCTAATAGTTTTTCAATTATGCAAAAAACCTTTTAATTAAAGTATAAAAGGCAACTTAATCCTTTTGAGTACTCTGCTGTGCTTTATATAAAATACGCTGGGTAAAATTCTTAATTCTGGCACTGTGACAGGTAACTCGTCACAGCAGTTAATGAGTTTCAACAGCATTAGAAAATCACTTGCAAAATAAAACCAAACAACAAAAAGAAGAAAAAAAAAATCTTTTTCAGGAGCTTCAGATGAAACATAAGCAGACAGTGGTTAACAATTTCAGATTTGCTGTCTTTTAGGCACAAGTAGAGCTTTGGCAGCTTAGACATCAAACAGCTCTCCGGAATTCTTGAATTAAATTTGAGCAATTTTTGGTGCATGGAAAAAATAGTTACCATTTCTTAACTGGTAAGAAAATTATCCAGACTTTTACTCTATTTCCCTATTTTACTTACACCTTATTTCATCTTTCACCCTTTTCTTTTAAGTTACTAGGTGCTAGGAGACTGGGAGCATAAAATAACTGACCTTAAATGAATATTACAGATTTCTAATGATACTTGATCCAGAAAGGACATAATTTGAATTTTATGTAGCTTAGCATAAACACAATAAAAGTTTGCAAAAAGTCTTTAGTTAACAACAGACATTTTCTCGATTTGTGCGAAGCTATGAAAATAAAAAAAACCCTAAACCACCGAAATCAGAATATCAAATCAGGTAATTCACTGACATTGAATGATATGCTGGATGTGCTGGTCTTGCTTTGCAGTTAATCTAGAATACAACTTCAATGACTTCCATAGCGTAACTGTGACACAACTTTATTAGCAGAAACTTCCCCTCTCACTGCAGAACAGATTAATAACTTCATGATTAAAAGGCATGCGCAGCAAACAATCCATATTCATTAGTAAGATAGAGCAGAAAAGGGAAGTATAATAAAATGCCTTCTTGGTTTGAAATACATATATGAAATTGGTAGGGAAAAGAAACAAGCTGAAAACTATCAAAACTATGAGAAGCCAAAATGGATAGACGAAGTCACAAGACAGACAAAAACCAGAGACCAGTTTTTTCAGTTGAATTTTCTGCAGATTTTATTGTTTGCTTGCACTGTTGCCATGTTGCCACTATTTGGATTTTATTCTAAGTCTTAGAATTTAGTATTTTTCTGAAAAATCCAACTCATGCTGTTATGCAATTCATAGTATTCTCTCTTTTTTTCTTAAAAAGTAAGGTTTCTATCCTTTTGGCTTGCTAAGAAACAAACCGTAAGGGCTCTAGAAAGAAACAGAACTAAGCTCTAAGGACACACTTCCATTTTATTTACTTCAAATCTATTATTGAGATTTATCACTAGGAGTTCACTGACATCTGTGAGAAGTGAGTTAATGTACCAAACTATGTACCAAAATGGTGATCTTATGCATAACAATGTGTAAAGTATGTTAAAGCATTTTACTACTGCATGCAAATAAAATGTTGCCATTAATGCTACTGGGAGAGGGGTGAGGGGTGGGGAAACACCAGCTTTTAAAATTAGCAGATAGCAAAAGTTGATTCAAACAGCTTGCAACACCACAGGCAACACATACGAAAGCTGTTAACTATATAAAAATTGAAGAAACTGAAATGCTTAAAAAAATTATTGAAGATGCAAAACCTGCAAGGAGCAAAGAAATACCTGAGAAGCATTTGGATGCTATCAGAAAGTTTTGGTGTGTAGATCGAATTTGTACTAATTGGCTTCTAGTATTTGAAGAAAACAAACCCTGTATGTTGTGCATACATCATAAAGCCTCAAAAGTAATGCTGAGGCTATATTTCAGTAAAAGCAATGTTATCTGAAATCACATATGGTAAAACTGTAAAGAAATTTAAGGAATGCAAATTTAATGTGTGCTTTTAAAATCTCTCTCCTCGGTCCAATATGCATTGTTGAGATGCATCTAACCTAGAAGCCTAAGCAGAACTTTCTTTTTTTAGAAGTAAAAAGAACTTAAAAAAATTTTAGTTTTTTAAGCCACAATCACCTCAGCATCATAACCATACTATACACAAAATACCTGTGCTTGTTCAAGAGAAAGACCATTATTTTCTTCTAAAATTTTTCTCCATTAGAAAGTTGTTTAGTAGTTTATCACAGAAGTTCTCTTCTTATCATTTTAGGATATTGTGCCTTAACAAACTTGCAGCCCAGTTTTACAGATGTCAGTATTTGTTGGAGGATGATACCTTGCTCTCTAAATTCAAAAAGAACATCACTATAAAAATGTGTAATTTCTCTGCTGTCCATAGACCCAAGCCCCTTTTAAAAAGATCTATAAATACTTGATGCTTTGGACTTACAGCAGCTTCGTTTAAAGGTAATGCTTGACTGAACAGTATATCCAGGAAACATGAGAATATAGGAAAGAGAACAGTAGAAAAATACAGATTATTTTCTACATAAAATAAGTAGGAAAATATAGGAAAGCGTGATTAATAATTTCTCATGAGAACAATAAAATGTGTTAGCAGAATGTTATAATGTACAGTAAATAACAATACAATTATTGTATTTATTAAAAAAAATCTTAGCTGAATGTTCAGCTCCCATAAATAAAAGCAAAAAGGTATAATCGCTGTGTGCAAGAACTGAAAAATATATTTGAAATTAACTTGCAAAGCTGAAGGTTTACTTCTGGAAATAGAATTAAAAACACACATTGTTATGAATGCCCTAAAGAAAAGACAAATATGCTTGTATTAATTTTCCTAGACTAACCCATAAAGATAATTCAGCTTCTGAGCCACAAGCTTCTGCTCCTGAAGAGCTAAATAAAAACAGGCTAAAAATGGTACTTGACTTTAGTAACTGTGTATCTAATACATTTCCCTTAAATGGTCTAACAAAGAGTGCTTATGGCAAAGAAATTTCATAATAATATTGTACTTTGAAGTGGCAAGTCTTTAGTGCCAGACTTAAAACTGTGCAAATGTATCTGGCACAATATTTGGGTTGGATATTACTTTATTTCTTCCTAACAATCTTTCTCTGATGTCCATTCACTGTTAGTCAGGAATGTGTTTGATCCAGAACTAATGGATAATATAACCATAATAAAAAACATATACTGTTTTTTCCTACCCTGGAAAACATCTAGGAGAAGGATGACAGAGGCAAGCCAGACCAAGTCTGAGCCATACAGCAGGTCCAGCTGAAAGGCAGGGTGTTAGCTATTATCTTCCAGCCAAGACTAATCATTAACTGTGCATTTTTTCAGTTCAAAGGTGCTTTAAGTCTCTTGATACGTGGTTGTTGTCACCAAATCACTGTCTCAGCTGGAAAATAAGACTACTAGCATCTGTGATCTGTAGTTACTCTGGTTTTTCTTCTTACTGGAACAAAGAAAGAGTACTCCCACAGTTCATGCTGATCACAACCACAACTAAGCAACTAACAGTATTACCTTCTATCTGAGATTATGTCTGATAAATTTCAAACGCTTGAATTCAAGCCCAGAGCAAACTCTGAACAGGAACATACAAGAGCACTTTGGGATATTCAAGTTACACATGCAGGAAAGGTGCATGACACTCAAATTAAGAAAAGGAATACAGAAAAATGATCTGTACAGTCTTTGCCAAAAAGGACTAGAAGTGTTTATCCAATTATATGTGTCTGATACAGGTGGTACACTTGGTATAAATACACAGAAAAAGTACATTGACTGCAATTTACCACTGATTTAAAGGACAAAGGAAACTTTAGAAACATTAGTAAAGCTGGAGAAAGAGCAATGTTACCCTAATCATGCAAATAATAGTATTCAGTCCCTTACTTATCTCTTAATAAATCCTGCTAGAATTCTTCAATACACTAGGATAACTATAATAAAAAATACATACAAACATATATCAAACATTGAAATTAGATACTAAGCATGTTCTGTAAACGTGGAAGAAATCTTACTTCAAAAATACAAGTTCACTTTTCAATTTGTGGACTGGAAGTTTTAAGTCAAGCCATTTTTATAGTTAGCATTTCTTTTTCCCAAAAAAACCCTAGCTTCTGAGGGCTACAGAACACAAGCATATCTCAGCTTCCATTAAAATTAATCAAGCAAATTATACAGACATTTTATTTCAAAAATGTGGTATAAACCTTGACATTGACCAAAAACTACCCTAAAATTAATAATTAAGGCTACAAAGAGAGAAGAATGGACCAAAGCTCATGATTGCTGCATGCTAGATGGTAGCTGTAGTGAAGTAAACAGGTTAGATTGTGGAATAATTTAATAAATTTGTTAAACCTTTTTCTAAAATTATTATTATGATAAGCACATTTCAATAAGACAAAAATGTTCTGGAATCATCACACTTGGCCTTAAAAATCTCTCAAATACCGTTTTGTGGCTTTAGATAAGTATGAATAAGTTACAGTGGCTCCATTTCCATTTTTCAATGAAAATTTCCAATATGATGTTGGATAAACATCTTCATTCTGAAAACTTCTATATTCTATTCAGCATTGCTAGAATATTTGATGGTATGCAGAGCAGAAACAATACACATTTTTCACAGTGGAATTCTCAAAGTATGGATATCTTCTTGATCTCTGCATTTTATTTATTTAGGATGCTGGAATTTTGGAAAGGTAGCAAATATTTTACTGAGATTTGTGTACCCTGAACTAAGGGATGAACAAAGATCCTCAGAACTACTTTGTATGAATAGTACACCCGTAGGACTATGTGAACAATGCTCCTATTTCGAGGGTACCTAACCACACATCACAAGATTTCAACACTGTAAAGAGATCAGCCTGTCTTTCGACTTAAAAGACAAGAAGGTTAAGTAATGCAAGTTCCTGAGAAAAGAGATAAAGCTTCATCTAGGAAGGTATATTGGGACAGCTGCTTTTAAGGATTTAATAACAAAGCCATTGTTGTTATTACGATGTAACAACACGGTGGTCTTTTCTGCAGTCAATATTGCAGATAGGTGATAGAGGCTTCATGTCTCTCCTTTTCCTTGTCTCCTCTGTCTTACTGCTAGCCTCAACTGAAGATAATGCATAACCAACTTTTCTACTACAGCACAATATTTTTCATGTAACAGCTACCTACTCAGCATAATTACCCAGTGCTTTGTGGTTCCCATCCTTCATCAACATCTTTACAGACTCGCACAGCACACCTTAAGATTGGTATGAATTCAGTATAAATGGCAACATGCTTGTGCATGTATGTCTGTGCACAGGCAAAACATGGGTTAAAGGAAAGATATGTACTAACTGCTTCACAATGACGTATGTATGATTTCATTCAACTATGATCAGTGAACTAGCTCACATAAAGCTAATGTTAAGAAAATGCCACAAAACATACCTAGGTAAGGAAAATAAGGGAACTACCTAAGACATACGGTGGTGTTAAAATAATAAAACAAATAATAAAGAAAAGTAGTACCCACTCCTAAGAGTTATATAATGCAAATTCAAAAGCGCTTTGTCATTGTGAATCAAGAAGACAACAAGAGAGGTGATGATGATTAGATAATTGGCATAATCTCTCCAGAAACAATGTCATAGAAACAATTCTAGTTAGAACATTGTGGCATATGTCTTCATGCATACATGTGATTTTGAGTGTGGGTGAATTAAATCTGTAAGTGAATGAGCTTGAGTAGGTAAAATAAGCTTGTTTGGAGATTTTGTAAATATCTATCACCTTTTCTTACCATATAATCCTGCAATGATTTTTCTAAGAAGAATTTCCTACATGATCATATTGGGAGACACCTCATGCTTCTGTGTTATGACCAGTAAAAGATAGTTAAGACTATATATCTTACAATGAATACGTATTTAGTGCTGTAACTACTTCTGGAAGTGATAGTAAAATAATTTCAGATTAAAGTGCTATCTGTGTTTGAAGTTAAAGTTAGAAGTTGTGTTTTCCACACCCCAACTGTGTCCAAGGCCACAAAATATGCTTAGTACACTATACCAAACTGTTCATTCAACTGGATTTTTCTGGGGGTAATGACTCTAAAGATTGCTTATATCAAACTCTTGTTTGATATGCTGCTGTTCTGCCTATGAGTTTCATGAAATCGCACATCTTGGATATTTCACTTTAGGGTAATAGGGGAAGCTAGTGCCATCAGTCAAAGAGAAATTAATTTCAAAGAAAGGTACTGATTTTCATTCTTTCCC